CGGGGGCGGGAAGGTTCCCGGCGAACCAGCCAGGTGAGCCCCGAGACAGGCAGGGCCTGCACAGGCCAGGAGCGGATTCTGCAGAGATCACTACCCCCCCCCCCCTGGTGCCCCCCAAGAACAGGCCAGCCCCCCCCCCCCCATGGCAAACCCCTCAGGAAAGCATGGGGAGGAAAGCGGAAAGGGCGGGAGGGAGCGAGAACCCACTGGTTTAAAGGGAGCTAGGGCTGGGAGGGGGAAGCAGAGGGGAGCAGAGGCGTCTGGGCGTGGAGAGGGGGAGGAAGTGCAGGGAGAGGCAGGCAGTTTCTCCTTATATGGGCTAATCCTCTTCCAGCACAGGCAGAGCCAAAAGCCAGCAGAAAAATCCCTCCTCCCGTGCCAGCTCGGAAGGGGCCTCTCCCAGCCGCCAGAGGCAGAGCGCACAGCTAGGGACAGCCCCTGGGCAGGGGGCTCCCCCCCACAGCCAGGGATGGGGATCCTAGCCCTCTCCAGCCCCACAGGGGAGACAGGGCAAGAGTGACACGCATCAGAGAAACCCATTCACCACTCCCCTTCCCCACAACGCCTGGGCCCAGCCCCTGCTGCTCTGCCCACATGCCCCGTCCTGCAGGCACAGCAGCCACTGCCAGGCCGGAGGAGAGCACAGGTGACAAGCCGCATTGTGTGGGGAGCAGCTGGGCCCAGTCGCCCCGGAGGGGCAGAGAGGAGGAGGAACAGCCGTCGCTGGATCCCAGCCATGCTTCTCCCCCTCTGAGCACACCCTCCAGCGGAGGAGCTGCTCCATCACGGATTGAGTCAAGCCCCTGGTGCCCCAGGGTATGAGGAGAATTCAAGGGGAAACTGAGGCACAAAGGGGTTTCTGGCACAGCTAGGGCACCTGTGGTCTATGCCTGGCAACAGAAATAAAGCCTCTCTCTGCCGTGGCCTCAGCGAGGGCTCCGCAGCTCCACGCACTCAGAACAGGTCGAGTTGGGTGCCCTGGCTCTTCTCTTCACCCTCCAAGCGCACAGAAGGGCAGGGCCTGAGTGACAGCCCAGCACCAGGCTCTAGCAGGACAGACGCTCTCCTCACAAGGCCGCTCAGGTCACGCAGCCAGACCGTAGCAGAGTCCACACGAGACTCCAGGGCCTTGGCGACAAGAACCAGGCGACAGGACAGATGCACCTGGAGACCCGTCAGCAAGCAATCCAAACAAGAGCTCAGCGAGGGCCTTGGGCCCCGAGGGGGCAGTCGGGCGCTGGGCAGGCGACGGTCACGGGACTGTGCTGGAGACAAGATAAGGCTCCCAAACAGCCATCCAGCACCAGCTGCTGTCACTGGGGAGTGCCTGCCCCACAGCAGGGCCCCACACAGGGCAAGGGGCTCCCACACAAGCTGGGCATCACATGCGGGCCCCTCTCATGCCCTCCCACCTCCCCACACTGCTGCCCTTCCCAGGAACCCTCCAACAGCTGCCACCACCCTGCCCCAACGCCGTCCCCTGCAGGTCTCAGCAGAGCTCCCCTCCTCCGGGCATCACCCGGAAAGCGCCCTCCTCCATGGAGCCAGTGACGAGCGTCTGACTGCAATCGCTCCCTTGGCACCGGGCAGGCCTGCTGCTCTCCCGACAGCCGTGTGAGCGCCTGGTGCCTTCCCAGCCCAGCTGCTACCTAGCAAACCAGGTGCCCCAGCTCGCCCCATGGCTGCTCCCTCCACCGAGACTATGCTTCAGTGGAGTGTCACACCCCCGCCCCCTTCTCCCCCCAGCCCAGGCTGCACCCCCGTACCCATGCCCCCTTCCCCCTCTCAGCACAGGCTGTAACACTGGCCTCATCCTGCGCCCTGAGCTCACCTTCTGCACCCACACCTCCGCCGCCGCACTGCTCGGGTACACCACAGCACCTGCTCCCCCTCCACTGGCCTGGACTACGGAGCCCCCCGCAGCTCTCCGCACTGCTACAGCTTCGCCCCGCCCCGAGAGGATCAGTCACACCCTCCAGCCACACCCCGGGCTCCCCGCAGGATCTCTCACTCCAGCTGGCTGCTCTATCTGCTGTCCAGTGCCTTCCCCTCTGCTGATCTACTGCCAGCTTCCTCCATCCCTTCACGTCAGCTCCCCTCCGTGGGGGCGACAGCCTTCTTCTCTGCAGCTCCCCGCACTACCGCTCTCGCTGCCTTCCCCCACGCCGAGCCTGGGGGGGGGGGTCGGTCCCCCCCCCCCCGCCGAGCCTGGGGGGGGGGGCCGGTCCCCCGTTGCCACCCAGAGCGCACTCCCAAGGGCTGGCTCCCAGACACGTGCAGGACGGACAGGCCAAGCACCGGCCCCCCGAGCCCCAGGGGGTGCCAGGTCTCCAGCCCCCGCCGCCTGCTGAGACGGGACGTTCCCCCCAGGCTGACTCAGCTTCCTGCCGTTAACACAGCACCTCGGTCACTAGCAGTTTGGCCTTTGGAGCGCTGGAGCCAAACCCTCCCGCTCGAGGCCAGCGGCCGAGATGGGGGAGGGGGGATTAGCAGTCCAGCTGTGCCTGGCCCCACAGCAGAGAGAGCAGCATGGGGCCCTTGGCAGCATTGTCCCCCAGAACCAGGCTCTCCGGGCCGCTGTGCAGCCCAGGGCCCTAGCTGGAGGACTCCCACCCCACGACAGCCCCAGTGTGTCACCCTGGGTGACCGGCCATCCATTAGCCGCAGCCCCCATCTCCAGTGCAGTCCATCGCTAACTCCCCGCTGAGCTGCTCTGCTGGGGGTAGCCAGGGGGCCAGGACTGCCCACGGGAGGGAGAGGGGAAACCTAGCCTCCCTGCTGAGGACAGCCCAGCCCCATAGGCTGCAGCCCCGCCTGCCCGGCCGCGGCCCCAGCGGTGTGCTCTGGAGCAGACCGCTGGCTGGCACCCACTCAGGAGCCCCCCCCCCCCCCTCCTCACCCTGGGTTGGGAGCTCTCTGACCACTCCAGCAGGCAGGACACCCTGAGCAGGGAGGGGGGCCTAGGGTGGGGGTTATTACTGCGGGGAGACTGCAGACGCCTTGCCCCGGGACCCAGTGTCTGTCCAGCAGGCCGGGTGAGAAACAGGGCAGAGGAGGACGTGCTGCTGCCGAAGGAGCCAGTGGTCCTGGAGCTACCTGCTGCTGGGCACAGCAAGTGGGTGGTGAAAGGAGGGGGATGGGAGGTTTCTGCCCCAGCCCGCGGGGTCCCTTCCACAGGCACGCTAAGCAACTCGACACACGCACTAGGAGGCAGCTGGAGCAGATGGGGAGCGCTGGCTGCTCCAGGGCAGAGGCCCTGCAGAGAGGGGGCAGAGCGCTTCCTGCTGTGCCTGGATTCTAGCAGCAGAGAGCAGGGCAGGGCCACCCGAGCGGGCAGGAGACAGAGACCGGAGCCAAACAAGCACAAGGCAGGCGACAAACAACAGCATCAACCCCTGTCCCTGGCAGCAGGAGCCCAGAGGCCAGGCTGAGCAGCACAGCTGAGCAGGGCAAGGCGATGGGGCAAGTGGCAGAGTGCGTCTGGGGCAGCCTGCAGAAGGGACTGATGCACACCAAGGCCAGGGATACGGTCAGCAGCAACAGGACAGCGAGCTTGCCAGAGCCCCACCGTGCCAGGCACAGAGCTGGGGAGTGGCACCCGCCTCTCCCCTTCCAGTGCCAGAATAAGGGGGTCGGGCCCCCACGGGGCCATCACATAGGCAGGGCATGGCAGACCCCTGCTTCCTCAGAGAGCAGGAGCTGATCCCCCAGGGTCCCTGTGCCCCCCATGGGAGCAAGCAGCAGCCGCCTCAGGAGATTTGGGCCAACACACTGCGGCGCTCCCCACCTCACTCAGCCCCACGGGGAAGTAAGGCCGCAAAGCACCCTCGTGGGAGCAGTGGCTGGAGCCCAAAGCGCCTGGCTCAGTGGGGAGAGCTCGCAGTCCCAGACAGGGAAGGGACCCCAGAGCCCCCCTTAGCCAAGAGCTCAGCACGCAGCCAGGGACGCCGGGCAGGCACTCACACAGGGCGCTCCCAGGGGCCAGTCACTGTTATCTCCAGGCACTGGGGTGGCGGGCGACAGGCCCTGCAGCCAGCAACCGGCGCCAAACGCAGGGGCTGCAGACACAGCTCGCTCAGGCCCCACGGTATGGAGCACCCCCAGGCCCAGGGAGCTGGCCAGCCCAGGCCATTCCACTAGACTCACCCCGTCTCATTGCCCCCACCCCACACAGCAGTGGGCTAGGACCGCTCACCCTTCTGTTATGCCCAGGCCTGAGTACAAACTAGCACTGCTTAGCTTCAGCCACGTTCACGCCGTTCCCAGGCCCAGACCTGGCCCAGGGAGTCTCTGGGGAGCAGGCAGAGACGTTTTACCTCCTGAGTTACAAATAAGCAGCCTCCCAACCCCTCCGGCTGTGCCAGCCAAGCTCACCCGATTGCATGCCCATAGCGCAGCAATGCCACCAGGCACCGAGCAAGCCAGCAGCTAGGAAACCAGTTTCAAAGAAAGTGTAACAGCCACGGCATTGATCGGCCTCCACCATGGGGAGAGAACTGGTCTCAACCAGATCCCAAACTGTGCCAGAGCCTAGGTGCACAAACGTCCCATTTACACTGCAAGACCAAAGCATGGCAGGGCTGTACCCGAGTCCCCCCAGCCCAGCAACAGTTACAGTGTAAACAGAAACAGAGCCACAACCCCAGTGGGCAGGGCCTGACTCTGGCAGCAGCAGGCTGTACATACGTCCTGCCCAGGTTGTGCTCTGGAAGTTACAGGAGTTGTTTCCATTTCTTCGTCCCATCCTGATTACAGCTGAACACCTGCCACATACTCCCAGGCACCCAGAGAGCCCCAGCGCTCAGCCAACCACCATGCGCTACAGCTGCCACGCTATCAGGGGAAAGGCTCAAGCAGAAAGGTGAACTGAGCAGTGGTTTCTCTTTTCTTTCAGCAGGGAAGGTCCGAGCGCTCTGCGGAGAGGACACGGCCAAGGTCAGGAGCTACCGACGAGATACACACGCACATTCCCATGGGGCTGCACCTCAGGAGGGACTCACCAGTTTCCGGAGGGCTCCCTCATCCATGCTCAGGAGGTTCTCTTCAGACATGCTTGTCTCCCTTCACGCCAAATGCAGGGAGGCAGGCCTGGTCTCAGTCACTGCACTGTTCTGGGCAGCTCTCAGGGAAGTGAGCAGATGGGAGCGGGCCGTAGGGCCGGGGTCAGGCCCCGTGCTGTACTGGGACTGCCAGCTCACAGAAGGAATTCTGCAAAGGAACAGATTGCAGGCGTGTCAGCGAAGCTGCAAGGAGATTCCTGGATTTATTAAACCTCTGCTGAAAGGCAAATGGGATCAACCTACAGCTGTTTCACTGGCTGCTAATCCCAGTGCTGGAAACAGAGTCACTCTGAAAGCAAACCACAGCATACTCCAAGATCATCACCAACACGCTATGCTCTGCCAGAGGCAGAGCCTGAGCTAAATGCATCCGTCCCACTCACACAAGGCTTCCGACTACTTCTCCAGCACTACACCCCACGTTCATGCATCCAGATCTGCCAGCGCCCCTTAACCACGCTCCCTCCCCAATTTATTTATCCAGAGACACCATCCACCCACCCACAAACAACACCTCCTTTTTGATCAGGAAGAGAGATTCCCCAAATACAGTTTGATCTTATTAAAACCAAAATAAGAGACATTCCACCTCAGAGAGGTACAATATTTAGGCATAAAGAACTACAACCAGAAAGGGAAGTGGCCAATCATATCAGTTACCCCCAGTTTATTATTGTGGATTGGCTGGTCCGAGCATACCGGCCAATTCCCCCCCGCCCTGACCATTGTATTTGTTGCCCTCAGAGTTTAGTGCTGGTGAAAGTCATCAGGCTACTAGACAAAGTGGAGGACTCTGCTCTGGGGCGACAGGGAGCCCGCCCCATCCACAGCCTCTCCGCTGAGCCAACTCAGGTCACCAGTTAGCCCCAGCTGTGAGGTGGGTATCGAGCTCATTTCACATAAACCACCAAATAGCCATTAGCAGCTTTCAGGCATGGCTTGTCTCAGGTCCAAATAAACTAGTCCTGTGGTGGAAGGTTGTATAGCCTATACACCCACTCCTACCAGGTTCTACGCTGGCACTGGCCGGGGTCCCAGATTTCCTTAATGCAGATTGGTTCTATGTTCGCCCCCCGAATGGACTAAAGGAAGTAGGAACTGCCAAACCAGATGAGACAAGTCGCTCATCTCTGACAGTAGGCATTACCGGACGCTTTAAGGAAGGGAAGGAAAAACCCACAGGGCAGGGCTCTGGAATAGTTTGCCCCAGGGATCCAGGGCTTGGTTTAAATGAGAGACTTTCCCAACTTTGGGGTTTGCTTGGGTTGGGGGGAGGGGTTGGTCAACATCTTTCCCTCCCCTCTTTAATCTGGATTAGCAAACAGCACCCCAATGCAGATTTGGCAATCTCCCCAATTGTACAATCCAGATTAGAGACCACCCGACCTCCCACCCTGGGATTAGCCAGATCCCTAATTCCTTAATCCGGATCGGAGAGCACCGCCCCCATCCGCAAGTAGGAATGGCCAGTCCTTTAACCCACACTGGCCGCTGCCCCTCCAAAACCTCAATCCGGATTAGTCAGTGCCTGCCTCCCCTCTAATCCGGAGCGCTGCCCCGCGCACCTCACGTAGCGTTGCTTCGGCCAGGCCATGAGCCCCGGCCACGTCCCGGCTCTGCTCCGCTCCTGCCGCAGCTGGGACTGAGCGGCGCCCGCCGCGCCAGCCCCCAACCCCCGCCTGCCAGCCCCGCCCACACACCCACTCCCACCAGTCACCAGGCGCGGACCGCCCAATCCGGCTCACGCTGCTTCTCCATTGGCTCATTTCAATTCATTGACCTCCCCGCCCCGTGGCCAGAGCCCCGCCCCGCCCGCGGCATTCTGGGGCGTGTAGTTCTGAATGGCGCGGGGCGGGGCGGGGCTAGGGAGGTGCCCGTGCCCGTGCCTGGGGGTTGCGGGGCGGGGCACGCTGTACTGTACAGGGATTGGATGTTGGGGGGCTGAGCCCGCACTGGGGGGAGGGTATGGGGGGGCTGCCTGTTCTGGGGGCGGAGCCTGTGCTGGGGGGGGGCTGTGCCCGCGCGGGGGGGAGGGCATGGGGGGGCTGCCTGTTCTGGGGGCGGAGCCAGCGCTGGCATCCACTGCCCCACTATCTCCCGGACTTGTTGCCACTCCTCTCCGTGTCGCTGTACTGCTGCCCCCTGCTCCACTCCCCAGATGCCTTGTCTTTGCCCTTCGTCCCTGCCCTCCATATTGACCCTTACCCAGCCACACCTCCCACGCCACCCTCCGGCGCCCATTGGCATGTTCCCCACCATGCCATCGTGCTCTCTCCCATGCTGCCCACGTGTGCGGGAAAACACCCGCAAGGCCACGCCTTGAAATCACTCTTTAACACCCCTCTCTGTGTGATGCCTACAAACCCCATGCTGGGGGGCTGCGCTCGGCAGCGGGGAGCACTGGGGAACGGCTGTGCGTAGGTGCCGGTTTGATGGTCTCTGTGTGCGTGACCAGGGGTTGATGCTCTCCCAGGAGAAGAGCATCTGGGGCATTGCCAGCAGATCAAGGGATGTGATCGTTCCCCTTTATGTGACATTGGTGATGCCTCATCTGGAGTACTGTGTCCAGTTTTGGGCCCCACACTACAAGAAGGATGTGGAAAAATTGGAAAGAGTTCAGCGGAGGGCAACAAAAATGATTAGGGGTCTGGAGCACATGACTTATGAGGAGAGGCTGAGGGAACTGGGATTGTTTAGTCTCCAGAAGAGAAGAATGAGGGGGGATTTGATAGCTGCTTTCAACTACCTGAGGGGGGGTTCCAAAGAGGATGGAGCTCGGCTGTTCCCAGCGGTGGCAGATGACAGAACAAGGAGCAATGGTCTCAAGTTGCAG